ATTCTCGCTCCCCCTTCAACAGACTTTGGTTATAACTCCTTAAAGGACTTAAACTTACACTAATATTTTTATATTTAGATACTTTTTGAGATTTGTCTTGCTAGAATATTAAAAACCTTTTGGGAAACCATTAGAGATCCATTATTTGTTAGATAAATAATGAAATTCGTACTCTTTGAATAGAAATATCATTCTCATTCCATATCATTGTTTGTGCTCGTTAACTGGGTGCTCGTGTTCGTTCCTTTTCGTTTATTGGAAAATGAGTCATTTTAGTCTAAAGAAAAAGTGTCAAGTTATAATTTGTATAAATTTATAACTATCAGTTACGACACACATTTTCTGTCTTATGACATATAGAACATTACTTGTGTTCTTGGAGGTTTTATGACATCAGCTTATGACATGCAAATATTTCAGTCATAAAGGCTTACTTGTATATTTTCTTGACGCAAACTTTTATGTTGAATATTTATAAAATACTCCATGATAGTTGCAAAAATTTCACAAGGTTTCTATTTTCGAAAAATCACTAGAAATAGTGTCCACTTAGTAAGATCCCTTTTATAAATTTTTATCTTTAGGCATGAAAGCATAGATAAAAGGGTTAAGTTGGACACACTCAATAGTTGGGAGGCTCTTTTGTTCAAAGTATCCTCTATTCTTTAGGAAATTTTGAAATCATTCATTCATGAGTATATTACTAAATAATAATTTAATAATATTTCACACACACACATACAAACATATGTATATATGCAATCATTTAAGAATCTAGTCAAGATTTGACTTGTACTCTCCCCCAAAAACATTAAAACATTGATAAAGGTGGGGTATGAAGCTCACCTTGAGTTGGTTGAGAAGTTGTTTGGAGTTATGGAGTGAAGATCTCAAGCTAAAACTCTTGTTGAGATGAGGAACTTCCCTGGGAGGGATGCTTTCCTAAGGATGATCATCACATATTATTATGAATAAAATAATATGGATTCATCTTGAAATATAATAAAATATTAGATGAGTGGAGGAATTTACCTTACAATTTCTCAGGAAGAAGTTGAGAAATTTCCTTTCAGCAAGATCCTTTATTATTGCTTGAAGATGAGTTTTTGAGAGAAAATGGGGAAAGTGAGAGAGAAAGTGGAGTCTAAACTCCCTCGCTATCGTTGTTTTGGAGTATAAGGAAAAGGGAGGAATCTTTGGTACATGGGTATCTGGTGGACCATGCATGGGTATTTGATGGGTAAAGCTTGGAATACTGTGGTTTGCATGGGAAATGAGGAATTTCATCAAATCACAAGGTCAATCCCTTTGTCCTTTTCTTGACTTAGGATAAGGTTTTCCTAAATCCCAAAAATTTATTTTTATGAAGAATATGCTTAAAATAATTAATTTTAGCATAAAATAGGGGTCTAAGGGGTTTAAGATAGGAAAAATACAAGTTGGTGTAAATTTTGGCGTCAAAATGCCTTAAAATGGTGAAAAATTCCGAAAATAATGAAAATCCGGAGTGGGATCATGCTCATGCAAAGGTCCGAAGGGCTTAGGAGAAGTTCCGGAGTCAGCTTTGAATTTTCGGAGTCATTTGGGTCATTT